TACCCTTAGAAAGAAATTATATATTACTTTATAGCTATGCCCGTATATGTATATATAGAAGAATCGCTTCCAAGTTTTAATGAAATTCAGGCGGTAGCTTGAAGGTTAAAAGATAAAGCTTTGATTGTCCTGGAATCGTTAATTTTAATTCTAACAGGGATAGAACCAGAAAACGTTAAAATCACGATGTCACTTTCATTTAAAAATGAATAAAAGTATTTCTTTGAGTCGACAGTTAATTACTAACAGCATCATCCTACCACATCTTTGGAGGAATACGTATCTAACTTACATATTTACGAACAATATTCTAATCTATTCTAATCTAATCTAATGTAATCTAGGCCTTCCTTCGGTCCTTGTAACTCTTGTTTTTGCTTCTAATACCTACGTCTCGAACGAGCCCTTCATGTCCCAGAAGGTTTTCTACCAAATCTCCTGTTTTCCTTTCAGAGCGCCCTTTATTCTCCTGCTCTTTCCAGTACTTCCTTATTTCTAACCTTTTCTATTCAATGTATTCANTATCATGGTGTTTTAGGTCTTGTTGAGGTACCCAATATCTAATTATCAATTTTTAAAGGTACATAATCAGCATCGAAAAGAACCCGTCGCTTGTAATTATACAAGTACATTTGCTTTTATTGAAGTATTAACCTTTAAAGAATTAATCTTAAGAGCCTTGGAAATTTATTTTATTTTGTTTATTGATTAAACAGATGTTGTTATTAAGGTGTTTTCACTTAATCCGTAATAACTTACGTATTTAGCATACAAATTACGTAAAATGCATATCCTTTACTAATCCTTAACAGTTACGTATTGGATTTTTGGTACCGTTTTATGTAGTGGTGATACGTACATGTGAATATGAATGTGAATTTAAAATCGACTTTAGCATTTTGCTATCAGTTTGATCCGTTTTAAGTATTTAAATATTTGTTCGCTTAAAAACATTAAAAACTTCCCAAATGCGAAATGGATAATAAACAGTTCGTTGTGTTTCTTGAAAATTTATTATTCATACTTATTTGCGGTGGGACAATTCAATTTTCTTATCAATGACACTTATTCCGTCTCCTCAAGATTAATGCGAAGCTTGAAAGACACGTTACCATTTTGGTTTCGGTGGCATCATTACTTATTTAACCGTTTTGTTATAACGGCTACAATTTATTTGTAATTTGCCCTTCCTTAAGTACCTTGCAGTAAAAAAGCTATTACGTAGTTATCTATCCCTGCTTATTTGAAACAACTAATTCTGATCTTTTGACTGATGACTATCTATGTTAAAAGCTTTTGTTATTTCTGTTTGTATCTAAAAGAAGCATGCTTTTGAGTCGAAAATATCATTACTCCTTATTTTTTTGTTTACAGATGAAGAAACAAATCAAACCGTGAAAAATGGAGTGAATTTCCCCGAGGGTGAGTACATTTCTAGTCATTTTCTAGCTTATAGCCTTACCAAAACAGTTAATCTCTGGTTTGATTAATTCTACTAAAATCTCAACTAGAACACTATAAAATGTCAAAGTGTTTCATATAATATTAATATAATTGGTCGTTATTCCTGTTGCCGCGTCTCGTAGCTGAGTGGCCAGAGTATTAGTGCATAAAACTAAAGGTCCTGAGTTCGATTTCCGGCGAGGGTGTAACAACAGCAACAATTTTTTTTCATTGACTTTAGGTAATTTGTAATGGATAAAAATTGAAAACTATTTTTTGTTTATAAAAGCTATTCTATAACTACCTGTTACCCTTTATACAAACTATATGTATAGGTATCACTCTTCTATGTTTGTATCTCATCCCCATATTTTTTTTGTATATCTAGCATCTTTTTACATTGAATATTATCTACTTTTCACGCTATATTACTGCTCAAAAATTACTTCTAAATAACCCAATTTGTATTTAACTTTCTAAATTCTTTACCATAGTTAACAGAGTATGTCAATATAATTATTACAGGACATATACCCACCACATTTACTTATTTTCACTTTGTATTTGGTCACTTGTCTACCTCAAATGTTATTTTACCTTAAGTATTCTTATAGGTACTTACTTACCATTTGCATATGCAAATAGCAGCTTGCACATTGTTAGCAAGTACTTAATAACTATTATGTGTATGTACTACATCCTTATCTTGAAAATCTTGTGTAATCTTCTCTAACCATCGTTAATTGTTATAAACATAAACTAAACGGTGGACTACTTACACCGTTTACATAGGAGATCCACAGAATTATTAACTGGCTTCTAATTTGACGATTACTTCTTGACTTTTGTAATAGATTAAAGGATAATTATAAAACTGTAAGGGTTGCTAGGAGAAGAAGATTAATAAGTACGAAGCAACAGTAATAACAAAATTGCAAAATTATAATATTTCATTTATTTTAATGCTTGTCGACCAACAACAACACCACTGTGTGTTCTTTTAAGGATGCGGTTAGACTAAGCGAACAAATCCTCCAACCTGTCACAGTTTTATTGCAGTAAACATTTATTTAAGCTCGTAGCGGGACTCAATTACCACCCGTACTTTTGAGTAAATAACGCCTACAAGTATCCATTATCTGCTTTATATTGTTTGAATGTTTCATAATTTATAATGTCTTGTGATGTTTTCGAGAAAAGTTTTTAGCCATATTTGCCGTTTTGTCAGATAGTATAAAACAATATGTTTTAGTACGATGTTCAGCCAGTTAATTAAGGCTGATTGAGTAAACTGTTTTAATTTGGCATTGTTTTGGTGTTCTTTTATTACGTGATCGTCCTTTGGGATTCTCGTACGTACTTGAACCTCTGTTCACGAGCATGCGATCTTGTTTGATCCTATGTATGCATCATTTAGCGTTTTAGAATCTGTTAGATCTTTCAAAAATCTTTCATTTTTCTTGCACCAAAAAAAACGACCCCACACAAAGCTTTGACAGCTGATTAAAAAATGACTTGTTGAACTTTTAAGTTTTAGATTTTCCATATAAAAATAAAACGTTTGTAACAATTCATGTTTAAACTAGGTAAAATTATACATTACAAACTTAAGTTTTTCAGAAAATAACTTTCTTGTTCTTAATATTTGTGTTTACATACCTACCTGTTACTCTGCTAGTTAAATTATATTACTCAATTTATTTTGTAGGTAGATAGACAAGTACCTACATAAAAAATTAATTAAAATCACCATAAAACCATTTTGTTCCTGCACGTTAATTAACTTCTACGTAAGAATGTTCGTTTTTTGTTTTTAATTGAATTAAAGTTATTGCGTAGTTTTCAGTCATCGAAGTATTCTCTGTACAGAACAAAGTCAACATTTTACGTGTTTTATTACTTTTCAACGTGAAGTAGCTAATTCACTTATTTTTTGCGTGTAGTACGTAGGCAGATAAGAACTGGTATGGACACTATGTAAAAAGGACCGTAACTTGTGTGTATTCACGTAATAAAAATTTTTGCCTAACAATTTTTATTATCAGCTGTAAAAAATTTTACGTCTGCAAACACTCCTGACAATTAAAAATAAACGATGCCATTGGAGTAAAACGAATATGTATCTTAACGTAGGTAGTAATTTTGCTTCATGGTTTCCGAGTATTTATTATGTAAAAGTGTAGATGTGCGGTACTGCAGCGGATATTAAAAGTTTGCTCATAAACTTAAAAAAAAACATACACAGTAGAAGGCTTTCTTGTTTAGATCCCAAGTAATTACATGTAACAAAATCTACGATACAGAATTACCGTTTTCCTGTATCTACTTTCTCATTTAATCGAAATCTAATTAGTAATTTTAATAATCATAATCGTGGCACAGATGTATGCCAGTAAAGTGATAGCAGTTTAAAGAAATTAGGAAAATACGTATTCTACCTCAGTTGTCAATACCTGGCAGATTGTGTATCAAGCATCAGTTACTGTGCAGCTAACTAAAAAAATTTTAATAAACTAGCTAGTAAAATGTGGCGAAACTGAAATAATTTTGTTCTATTACGAATATAATTTATTTACAAACCAGCATCTACAAATACTAAAGTAATCCCATTACTATCTTCTAGTGTAGCTTTGAGCTTTTAGTGACCTAATAGCTCTAAATTTTAGAAATATACTTCGACTATAAGACTTCCATGCCTTTATTTATTATATAATTGCAACGTTTCATCCGTATAATATCTGCAATCGTCATCAGGTAACTGTTACTTTCATAGGAAAGCTCTAAGTTGATTTCGTTTTATAATTTTTGAATATCACAAACTTTCCATTTTATTATTAAAGTCTAGATCTATTTCTATTATAACTCTTCCTGTGAGAATAGTTTTATTTCCCTGATTAAATAGTAATTACGATTGTTATTATAAAAATAACTTTTTCAACTGTTTCATCTTCATTTTCACTGGATATTGCTTTTATCTTTTTTATGCAAACTGAAACTGTACGCAAATATTTGTTTTGAGTTTAAATAAAAAGTTTTAATTTGTTCTTTTGAACTCCTACATTCGAATTTTATAAAATCAACAAGTTTCCAGCGTTTGTGGGCAAATTTGAAGTTTTCGACGATTGTAACATAAAATTGTCATATAACATTTATGAATCGTTCAAATTTTATTTGCAATGTTCCTCTAGTACTCAACAAAAATTGCATTTATAAACTTTTAATTTGTTAATAAAGAAAAACTTTGTTTAACTAAACACGAAAATCATGATATAATATAGGAATACTTTTATAATACTTTGTCATTAGGTGTTCGGTAGAAAATTTTGATTATGACCCGAGCTTTTTAATTTAAATACAAGATGTTTCCACTTTAAACAGGCATTTATAAATTGTTATTGCGATATCAAAAAAGTAGCTTTTTTTTTTAATTTGTCAATTAGAAAAGTTTTTTAGCATTTGTTAATTATGAAAATTTTAATTTAAATTAAGAAAAAGTCCTGTTTATAATTTCGTTATTCCATGCTTTCAGTAGAAATTTTTCACAAGCATTTACATACATAGTTAATATTACCTGTTGCGTGTATCTTCTGTTATGAGCTGTTTCGATTAAAACCACATTTAGTTTCAAAAGTTTGCCTAATATTCTACTCGAACGCAACTTTCATCCTTATAATTTGGTTAGAACGCGTAACTAAGTGTATGTTTCGTAAGGTAAGTGGCGTCGTTCGCACTTTTTAGTCCGCATAGAGACGCGTGTTGGCGCCGTTGTGGAATCCCGCACCGACTAAACTTGCCAAAGAAGACGTCGCGGATGCTCGAAGTAAACTCGCGGATGCGCCAAACAATCAAAACGAAAATGTATCCGAGTTAATCTGAACACGCACGTAGGTATGTAATTTTGTTTATTTACAAATTAATTGTTCAATTTCATTGTAAGCAAACGCCTTCACGAGAAAAAAAAAATGACACAATCATGCGAATGTAAAGTAAAATTATCTATAACGGGAGAGCAGTGCGGAATCCAAAAACAGTGCACAGAACCGCTTTGTTCGGTTCAGTTCAATAATCTTAGGGATAACACAACAAACTGCATCAGAAATCTACACTATTCATTTTGTCTACTACCTGGTGTGGAGTATTAGATACACTAAATTATTGAATCAAATTTTACTGATAAGATCAGAAAGATTCATAATTACAAACTTTTTTGCAGTTCTGAAACCCTGCAACACCGAAATGTGTACAGCCTGCCTTATTCGAAATAATAACAACAAGCACAGTTGTTGAGTTGTTTTTGAAAATCCTCTCAAATTTAGCTTACAAATCTTCTTCTCCTCTAAATCGTGATGTATACAAATCAATAATCATCTAAATCACTTGTAAGGGTTCTACGGTCGAATAATTATGAAGCATAATAGTAATAATATAAATAAAGGAATTGCTTTTTTATGTTTTTATATGTCATGTCCTATGTAAAAACCTTTTTGTTTTCGGGAATTATTTTGACTTTGTTATTTTCTGAAGTAAAGGAGGAAAAAAATCTTTCGGATATTTTTAGACATAATGTAAACCAGTACTTAATTTAAACTAACAAAAAACGGACTTTTTATACTTAAACCTTTTCGTTTTGAATCTCAATGAAGATAAAAAGTATATTTTAAAAAGCAACGGTGTAACTAGCATTATAGTTATAATCAACAGTGACATATAGACAGACGGACAGGCACAGAAGTGTCACTTTAAGGAACCTTTCTTACATTGTTAGTACAGAACTCTAAAATATACTTTGGCGGTTAGGAGTTATTCATTAGGGAACAAAAATAATTACACATTTTTTTGCAGTTCTGAAACCCTGCAGCACCTAAATGTGTACAGCCTCCCTTATTCGAAATAAATTTAATTCAAATTAGATGCCCACGCGCTGAAACCTTCCTGCAAGTTTTTTTAGCCGGTCCTATTTATAAATAACGGAAGGGAGTTTAATATTTCCAAAACCAAACTTCAAAACGATAAATGAAACTTCTAATTCATATTTAACGATTCTTATATTTATTACATTACTTTTTGATTTGATTCGTGTCTAAAAACCATCGTCGGTTAGAGTTGCTTCCTAACGTTTCGCTAGCACAAATTGCGAGCTTCTTCAGAGGTCCTTCCAGCATCAAAATCAGGACACCATCAGTTCATTTACTAGCCGTGAAAGCCTTTAACAGTTTGTCAAATATTTTTTTGCTGCGCGGGATTTTCATCTATAAAATAATCACATGTAAAGTTTAATTTGTAGGGTTGTGAAAGGCAAGAATTAAAGTGTCCAACCCATAAGGGTTCCGTATTAACATCACATTTTTCCAAGAGGTGGAATATATTTCACCAATTTATTGTACAATTTGGTTCAGCTATTAAGTCATTCCCAAAAAGTTATAGGTATTACAAACTTGCTTGTTTACAGCTTTATTATCCACAACGGCTTTTATTAATAGATCAGACATAACGATGTCTGTTTGATTGTTCAATAAAAATTTATTACCGTTTTGACTGTCATTGTTTTCAAAAAGTCTAGCTTTTTACCTCTAAGTATGGAGTAATTTGAAATTCTTCCGATCTGAAGAATAATTATTATGTACAAAATTTTTACCTTAACTTAATTTTTGAAGAATTACGTATAGGTACATAGATATTTTATGTTCCGGCAGTCTTTTTTTAACTGAACGTCCCGTTTGACCCGAATATGTGACTTCATGATTGTCCATAAGTTCTTAAACATGTTTTTTCAACATTTTATTATGTCGCTCTGTGTCATTTACCAAGAAAATTTTAATTTTAATTTTTGTGAGTTTTACGTCCTGATGTAGATACCTTAAAGCTTCAGTAAACATTTGTTTTACAAAATAGAACAAGTTATTAATAAATACACGTGCGAGATTGTCTTTTCTCTTTTAGCACAATAGAAACATTAACATTCGCTTCTCAAATACGTGAGACTTTTTTGTTTACTATTATAGATACATAGTTTAACTTCAACGACAAATATTAACATTCAACGAGCCAGCAAGGTATCTACTGCAAGTAAACATTTCTTAAATTATGGATGTAAATGTACGTGAATGACTTGATTATTTGTGTCCGTTTTAGAAAAATCAAGTAAATTAACGAACCTGTGTATTAATATACATTGTATATACCTATCATTTGTACATGATTGCGAAACAGAATACTCGAAATTTTCATTCAAATTACAAATAAATAAAACTGCCAAATACTCCGAATATTACTGTTAAAGGATACTGTATTGTTCTGTTTGAATCTAGTTTCAATAATTCAAATTCAACATAGCACATTCATTTGCAATTGATTGTATGTATTTTCATCCGATTTATTTTAGTCTATTTAAAATATTTTACGATGACGCCACAGAAATAGCGACCTCCTTTATGTCGTGATGACTTTTTGAATTATTTTTTACCTTTTAGTTTACTGTTACACTATTTACATCATGTATGTTGTTTATTTGACGAAGCATTCTTTGTCTTCGCGTGCAACATATTGTTTCGATCGATTTAGTCTTAAAAAAATTTTACTAGCAAATATAGGTACTTAACTGTCATGTTTACTCCAATAAAGAGCATTTCAGAACAGACAATTCCAAAATATTTCCATAATATGCCAACATTTTGTAGCAAGCACGCTGTTGACATCCTGGTTGAGGATTTTACGTTCTGGATCACAAGTGGTAACGAAAATAATGTAAAATAAAGAAAAAACACAGTTTGTTGCGTTCGTCACGCGTTATTTTAACTATCAATAATTTTTCATGTCAAATTACCCGTTTTTTGTCACAATCATTTAGAATTGCTAACAATTTCTATACAATTGTTAAGATAGAACACTATCGGAAACCTTTTTTTTATGGCCACGTCGTAACTAATTCCGTTGCTCATAAATTTCATATCTGTAATTTCAAAAGTCCTTACTTATTGCTCTATTCCTTCCCTTCAACGAACGTCAATTTTTTCTTACTACAACTTTTGCTTGTATGTGTCCCTTTCTAATCTCGCCTTTCCTATTCTTTTCTAACAGTATCACTCCGCCTACTACCCCCAAAATTTGATGTCGCTTATCTCGGCCACACCTTTTTCCCCTTTTGGCTTCTTAAATGAGACAAGAAAATGAAGGTTAAAACGCTAAAAGAGTTATCACTCTCCAATTGCCAAACTTACCAATTTTGTAAAATTTACTGTATGAACTATATCGATATCCTTATGTAAACAAAGTTAATTAGTGTTGTTACAAGGAATTGCGAATTATGAATTAGAAATCTCTTTGTTTTTGGGAATTATTTTGACTCACATATTTTTCAAGTAAAGGAGGGAAAAGTCTTTCGGATATTTTTGGACATAATGAAAACCAGTACGTAATTTAAAACTAACAAAAAAATGGATTTTTTAAACTTAAAACTTTGGCCTTCTCGTTTTGGATCTCAATGGAGATAAAAAGTATATTTTAAAAAGCAATGGTGTCATTAGCATTATAGTTATAATTAACAGTGACATATAGACAGATGGACAGGCACATAAGTCTCACTTTAAGGGACCTTTCTTTTTGGCGGTTAGGAGTTCTTCATTAGGGAACAAAAATATAAGGCAAAAAATGATTCCTGTTTTTGATGCAACTGATAAAATAACAGCCCAAAGTTTTCTTTTTGCTGTTGTGTATCACAGCCCATCAGTTCCTCACCTATAATTTATCTTTCTCCATTTCGAAAACGGTAATGTTGTGATAAGGCTTTTAGTTCGCAGTTTTGCGCCCTAGGTACGTATGCCTTTTATCTCAATTCATTTTGTAGGTTTATCTTCTCTCCTGTCACGTTAGAATTAATATAAATGGGTTGCAAATCTACAAAATTGCCAACGAAGCAACAACAATATAAAACAGATTTAACCCCATTTACTCCACTTCTCTAATCGTTCCATAAGTTAAGATAAGATTTTTATAGCGATTACTGGAATGAACCATGTGTAAAAAGAAAGTCAAACAGTGAAAAAGAATAAAGTACAAAATTTTCTCAGCGTATTTGATATTTATCTAATAGGTACAATGGAACAGGACTGCTGTACATTGTGACTTTTGCACTTTACTATCAGAGATGTGATTTATTTAAAATACTTGCAATAAAAATGTAAATACAAAATAAAAAATACCTATTTTTATTTTGCATTAAGTTCTTTTTTGAGAAAAACATTTAGTATTTTATTTAAAGTACTTTTCCAAACGTGTTTTCTAGTTGTAAAATACAAAATACATTTTTGCCGTTAAAAGTTTTGCTAGTATCACCGATCAAACATTATAGAAAATGATGAATGAAAGTTGCTCACATTGACCATTGAAGATATTAGAAGCTTAAAAAGGAGACAAACATTCCATGAATGCCTTTTAATTCTTTAACTAAAGAGAGCCCAAAAGTTCTAAACTCCTATGAATATCGGATCGATATTGTTTTCCGGGTTCAGTGTCATTGTCCATGGAATTTTGAAGTTCCAAACTGATATCAGAACCTGCCAAATCATCCCTTATCCTACCTTTAGCAAGGAACTACGAAATTCTATTAATTACGACAAAACAGCCCGCAAAACAACATCGATTTGATATACGCCAGCTGTTTAAAACTGAAGACTATATATAAGATATTGTGGTGTGCAAATAAATGCGTATAATCCAAAATTCTTCAATAACGATTCGAAACACTTCACTTATTAGATGAACCTAAAGCTAAAGAATATGGACTCCATTTTTTTCTCTTATTACAATGTGTAAAAGATTAGAAACAAAATGGGATTGTAAATATTTTGATATAAAATGATTGATCTTGATTTTACATCAATAAAATTATTTGCAACCCTATTTTGGTCTGATCTTTTACGCTAAACAAACTATTTTGACATCAATTAAAACGGTAACAAAGGCAAATAAGGGAGCATATCGAAGAATTATTTGTTGCTGAATTGAAGAAACTATACTATAAAGATAGAAAGACTATATCTCCATCACTTCAAACAGAAAAATATGAATCATACTTAATCTTCGCAAATGGTGATATAGTGCAAACACCACTATTAGTCTAGAAAAACTTAGCAAAAGCCTGCAAGGTTTTCTTAAATAATATTTTGTACTTAAGGAAATGTAGAAAATTAAATAGGTACTACAAAAAAGTATTTATTTGAAAAAAGTATTTTGAAAATACGTATTTTGCATTTAGCATTTAAAATACAAAAGGGAAATCTATTTTGTATTTTACATTTGCAATAACAGATCAAAAAAGTATTTTGTATTTAAATACTTTTAAAAAACCATTTTGAACATCTCTATTTAGCATATATTTTAATAAACATTCCACACATTTCGCTAGACAGGGCATGCATTCATGTACTGAAGGTTTTTACTTTCTTAATTTATTTAAAATGTTTTCGTGATACCATCGCTTACATTTATTTATTATCCTATTATTTTAATAAAAAGAAAGAATGTAAACTGTTACCGTCCAAATAGGACGCAACAAGTTTAATGTCCTGGAAAGACAGAGTAAATCCTTTGAGTCCTATTATCGTTTTTATGTTCAACATCGCATGTTAAAAATCCTTTCTATGTTATCAAAGCAGCTATTCGACTATATCGTAAATTTTAAAATAAATTACCAGTATGCCGACCTCTAAACGGATATTCATGTATATGATCGCTACAGACAATCTCCTTACTTTGTCAGCCGCCAATCCGGAAATATTTCTTAGAATAAATGGACGATTTCAAAGTCAAATAACTGATTAGTTTCTAGTCTTTCATTTATTGATACCAAATCGATCAAAATAATGCTCTATTTGATGTGTAAATCGATCTTAATTGAATATAAATATGAAGAAGGACATATGACTGAAGACCAACATACAGAAATTCTCGTCCAATCTCTTAAAAAAGTTGGACAATTGAATCGGAAAAGTGAAAGTCAATTATAAACCATCGTATCAGCAAAAACTAGACAAAAAGAAAGGAATTAACCTAAATATCCATCAATTGGCACCAGCACACATAAGTCTCAAGCAGGCCCTAGTCAACATTATAATGCTGGGCCTATTTTTCAGTCATGAGTCATGACACATACTTTGCGTTTGGTAGTTTGATTTTAAATCATATAGTATGTAGTTCTATTTAATTACCGGCTTTCTGTTAAAAATAAAATTAAAATTAATTATAAAAATCAAAAACTTAGTTTTCGGGCTCCAAAATTAGGGGCCCTAGACACGTGCCTAGGTTGCCTAGGCCTTAGTCCGGCCCTGGGTCACAGTGATTGTATCAACTCTTAAACGTGTTGGCGCCCCTCGTTTGCATTCAATTTATTATTAATGGCACATCATGGGAAGCAACATTGTTTTACAATTAATTCAGTATCTTTTGATGTAAAATATATCAAAATCGATCGAGTTATTTGAAATCATGAATTCCCTCATTAATGTACCTAATATATAGTAGATGTAGTAGACAATTATATAAACTTTTTTAATTGTCCAATTTGACTGTATAATATTAAATTTAATTGTAATTTTTATTTGAATAACATCTAACCCTTCCAAATACCCTTTCAAGAACCCCTTAAGATTTGATCGCATATAGTTAGGTAGCCAATGGTCAATATCGTCAACCAAGAATCGTCAAATTAACTTAGTGGTGGTGTTACAATGTAACGGCCTTTATCGCAACCACTTCTATTATTTCGCTTGATTCGATCACTTTTATGGTCAATAAAGGGCCGAGAGCACGGGAAAAAGAAAGAGAGACACCATGAGAAAGAAAACTTGCATTATACCTACCTTATCCTTAGGATACTTCAACCTGGCTATCTATCGGTCACGAAACAGAAAGCGCACTTTATTGCAATCAAAACATTTAGAACAGACTTTTATTATTATAGCCTATAGGTATGTGTTATTCAACAGGTATCTAGGATTTTATTAAAGTAAAATGCTATTTTATTGAGAAACGAAATATCCATTGAATGAAAAATATTAAAAAAACTATAGAAGCGTTCACAACCATACGTGAAAACAAAAATAAGAATGGTATTATAGTCTTTAAAAAAAATACATTCAGGTTTTCTTAAAGGATTGATATTGATTCTGCTTTCTTATTGTCAAATTTCCATTAATTAGGTATCGTATGTAATAAATAACTACGTAATTTATATACCTATCATCATCATTTTCATAAAGTCGTCAGTCCTAAGATTGGTTGGACACGCACCTCCATCCTTTCCTATCCTGCGGTAATCTTCTCATTTCCCTAAAACTAAAACAACCCATATTCTTAACTATTTGTGAACAGTAATCTAATCTAGGTCTACCTCTACCCCTCCTGACTTCCGTTTCTGTCTCTAATTTGTCTCTGGCTAGACCTTCATGCCTGAGAAGGTGTCCGCCTATTTCTTATTGACTTCCATAAAGTTCTCTGTTCTCTTACTCTTTCTAATACCTCTTCATTTCTAAGCTTCTCTATCCACGGTGCTCCAAACATACACCTTTAACAACCTTTTTCGAATTTCTAAATTAACTGTTCGGGAGAATAGAAGTGACTTCTTTTTATTAAAGGCGACTCGACCATGCTTCATCTCCCTACTACTCTTTCCGTCCTGAGTTATCTGACTTCCTAGATACCTAAAATCGGTCACTTCTTTTAATTTTTCGTCTCCTATCTTAATATTCGCTCTTTCCCTACTTTTCCTTCCCTTGCATACCAGTATTTTTATTTTACTTTTATTTATTTTCATACAGTGCTGTTTTGTCAATACCGCTTCCATTTTATTTAAAGCTATCTCTAATTCCTCCTTAATAGATGCTAATACAGCTATAAATTAATGAAAAATTTTGCATTGCAAATTGCAAATTTTAATATTTTCTTTCTGAATGTAATCAAAGCACTACTCAATTACGAAATATTTATTGTATTATTTAACGTTGTAGTCATATAAATATCGAACAAAGTTGTACTACTTTAGGAATTTAATTAGTTTAAGATTGTGTATATATATGTGATTAGTGAATTCTACAATCTACGATCTACTCGTTTTGCTATGATGATATGAAATATTGTTGTGTTTCGTTTTTCGTATCTAATCGTCGCCTCGTTCTTGTCATATAACAAAAACTAATGGCCGCTGTCATAAAAACGAACATTAGGATAACTATAATTCTTCAAAATTCTGCGTTCGGAGCACACGTTTATCTTCATATATTAACAAAAAGTAATTTCAACCGGAATCCTCTAAACTTGGTTCAACTCAAACTGTACCCAAGGGATGTTTTCAGATAAAATCTCAAGCCGACTACTTTAGCCAAAGTCTGCGGTTTTGCCGAACTGTTTCGGACAGATAGTGCTTTCTGCTATTTCTTGCCACCATCATGAAACCACTTTACAAGTTTAAGTGGTAAACAAGAACTGCTAATTAACAAACTGGGATGATAATAACAGCTGTTTAATTTGCAATTAAAAAATTTTTTAGAATTTTAGTATAAAATTAAATTTTTCAAAGAGGCTCAGTTAAAAATAACATCATTTTAAATAATAATAAGAATAACATATGAGCATTAAGTACATTTGCGTCTGGGTGATCTGTGCGAAATTGAATTTTTAAAAATGTACAAGATTTCGTTAATGAAAACAACAAAAGATTTTGAGGTTCACACCTATTTTTTCAGAGATTATTTGAAGTAGATGATAGGGATGATGTTTGGTATACTTCATCTTCATAAGGTCGTAATCCTAAGACTGTTTGGACACCCAGCTTTACTATTTCCTATCCTGAGCTAATCTTCTCATTTCCCTTAAACTAGAGCATCCCGTATTCTTAACTGTTGCAAAGAGTAATCTAATCTAGGTCTACCTCTACCCCTCCTAACTCCTGTTTCTGCCTCTAATATGTCTAGCCCTTTATGCCTGAAAAGGTATCTTACCAACCTATCTCGCCTTTTTTTTTATCTCCATGGAGTCCTCTGTTCACTTATTCTTTCTAATACCTCTTCGTTTCAAACCTTTTCTATGTCTAATTCTAATCCGTTCATATCAACTTTCAAATTTTCTAATTTCCCTGCTTGTCTAATTGTCCTATATTCCACGCTCCGACTCGTGAAGTATTGCACCTTCTCCTATTGATGATATCCCCCAAGGTAGTCCCCTACTAGATATCCGAATGTGGGACTAGTTTACCTCCGGAGGACTTTACCCCAGAAGACGCCATCATTTAAATTGTAGAGTTGTAACAGTACGTTGTACTGGGAATATCAAAATGTGGTGGTTTCTTGTTGCCTTCCACATCGCAATATTATACATCAGAGTGCCATACCGACCTTGTGATCTCTGCCACCTTGAGTACTGAAAGAGCTGCTACCCTCTTTCAGAGACTTGTCTTAGTCTGGTTTCTTTTTAAGAACCCTCCCATTTGATATACTTAATAATCTTTTTTTATATATTTTCTGGATCATGAAGCATATTCCCTATTTCGAATGCGGATACTTATAAATATTTCAAATATGATATGTTTTCTGATGCTATTTAAACCATATTAGATGCACCGATTGAAAAACGAGTATCAATAAAAAAACTGAAGAGTTTCACTTTTCGAAGCCTTCATTTTCTCTGCAATATAGTTTGTAGTTCCTCTTGAGGAAAGCCTCTAGACCGAAACGATATTGTAGAGAAAATAAAGTATTGAAAAAGTGAAATTCTAATGTTTTTTTGATATATGTTTTCTTAATTTTGAGTTGTATTTTTACAGACTTTTGCCCAAATTAATAATTTTTAAAACAAAGACTTTCGGTCTTGAAGTTTTTGATTTCCATTCCCGACAAACTTTTGATATTGCAATCAGAAAAAGCAACAAAAAGTTCTTTATTAAATAAATAATAAACACGATGCAATGCATAACAACCTTTATTCTAATAATACTTATTTTGTTCAAAATGTGACTATCTACAACTGACACTATAAAATTTTTTGGCACGGTATTTAAATATTTAACATTTGAGAATGTGACCTGATGTTCTAAAACACTTGATTTTTATTTCCTACGTCAGTACTTCTAGTATAACTTGAGCTTCCAAATTGAGAGCGGTCTCTTGAAAACAGTCACCTGGCCCTGTTCTTTGCCGCCTACTATGAAAACGTACAAGGGGATGAAGTCGTCTTTTATGGGACGGACGCGAACGTTGGCATTTACTCTTTTGACGGTCTCAATTTTATTAATTTGTTTCTCCACTCGACTTGCACTATTTGCTCTGTGTTTGGTGTTGTCTTTTGTTTGAGAATATGTCTTCTCTAGGGGCAAAGACTTTGGAGGTAATGGACTTTTACAAGAAGCGTTTCTGTAAACAACTTTGTTGATTTTTCCATCTAATTCTTGAAATTCTAATTCTTCTTTATGAGCGTTGCTCTTTGTTGCCTCCCCTTGTTTGGATTCTTCCAGCAAACTGTCAGGTGTGTTGAGCATCTTGCAAATCTGGATTTTTTCGTTATTGGTTATCGTTTTTATATCTGGTCCCATGTAATTGGGGTTGCAAAACCCAAAACGGTCATCTTTCTTATTAAACTTGGACGATTCTATGTGAGCTTGAACTTTGACGCTGTAGCAACTTGCCGATGACAATCTATTAACTGTTTCAATACTTGAATAATCTGATGTTGCAGAAACGTTTTCATTGCCGTCATTAAAACTCTGGAATTTTTTGCCTTCAATTATATGTTGGTAAAGGGGGTTGTCAGCGTAACTCAAGTGGGAATTATAACTTCCCTCTCTCTTGTCAGGCTGAAGGGTTTGAAGAGCGTTATCTTTGGGAATGTTAGGGTCAGGCTGAGGAGGTTCTTGAAATTTTGGGGGCACGAACTCGTTATCGCTTTCATCGTCATCTGTATCCAGAAAAACCAGACGAGCTGCTTCTACTGGTGTTAATGACGGTGTTGGAAGTGTGAGTAAAGTGAAGTTTGGTACCGATATCGGTTCCCTAGGTATCTTGTTCGAGCCACTTGCAAATTCAACATGTTTAGGGATTCTCTGTACAATTTTCTCGTCTTCTGGAGAAATGGGACTGATGTCTTTTCGCTTAATGACGAATGCTGATTTGGATTTTACCATCGTTCCTCTGGTGGGTGTTGTGATTTCACTATCGTCCACATCGTTATCAAAGCCAACTGTAGGTGATGCAAATTGTCTCAAAAGACTTTCCGTGCTTTCAGTTTTGTTGCATCCCAGGACGGTATAGTTGCATTTAGTATTTAGTTTAGGAATGTTCAGTTGCGACAACTTTGTTATTTCGTCTAGGAAACTGTTTTTACTGTAACGAGATGACTTATCCATTGCTCCATTCTGGCTGCCATCAACGTAATTGGATTCGGTTGCCTTAAACGTGTAAGTCTTTTCGATCGTGTCTACTTTATTATTGGGGATGTACGAGGAATGCCTGTTGTTCCTGTCCACTGAATTGCAAGTTCTCGGGCGGTGTCTGACCAAACTCTGATGATCTGTCGGAATGGACTTTTTATTTTCCAAGAGGAATTCTGAAACCGCAAACGCTACAGTTTCTGCCCGTGGCTGAGGTTTGACGCCGGAAATTATAATCTTCTCCCAAGTTTCAGTACCTACACAAATTAATATTTTTCATGGAGTTGGAGCACCATCAGACAATTTTGAAACATTTATACAAGGGAAAGGGAAATAATTGGGACATTTAACGGAAATAAAGGACAAATAAAAACAAATGCTATTGCACGTCTATAATCTCGCTGTGACATCATTTCGAGACCGGAACTGGAGTCGGTGAGTACAAACGTTCGAGTTTAATTACAAGGCCTGATAAGCTCGAAATTTTGATCGCAATAACATGTTGCTGACTTACAACTTTACAAATTGGTCCTTTTTTATATTATAAAAATGCAAAAAATGATTCAGTTTGGTTCTACGGAAAATTACCTTGTAGGTTTTTAAATTCTCTACAAAATATCTAATCATAATGCTAATTACTAAATGTTCACTTATAACTTATAACAATACAAATCATTTAACACTTTAGAACAAACTTACTTTCGTTTAGTTGCGAAACTGTGTGCAAAAGTTTATCATGGTTTATAAATTATAAAACTGCCGGAAACTTAGAAGGCTTAACTACCCAGCACGCCATTTACCATGGTCACAACATTATCGTAAAAAACTTTCAACAAGTTCGCTCTTTAACTCGTCTCGAAATGACGTCATGCTCGTGCAAGTAGCACGGCATTCTCACATATACAATAAAAAATCATTTCTACAAAAGTATTTTCAAATGTAATAATTTCTTTCAAACCTCAATAAACAATTTTAGAACCTAATAAAGAAAATTCTCATAAAGAAACAACGTTTTCGGTACAATATCTAATATTTTCAAATTTCGTTACTTACAAAAGCTGTACTTCCAAAGATCATTAGTTGGGTGGCCATCCCGTTCACCTCCAAATATAATCATCGAGGAAGGTAATCTGCAAGCGGCATGGCTGTGCAATGGTCCAGGACTAATTTTTGTTTTGATACAAGTCCAGCTGTTCATGGTGGTGTCCCATTTCCAAAAGTCAGCCCGTTCCTGTAAATCAGTCATTCCGCCATATATCCAAATACTGTCGTTATGTAGCACGGCAGAGTGTTTATGTCTTCCTGGTGGACAGGTGTCAGTGTTATATTTTTTCGGTGATGAACTTGAGAGAAGATGCCACGAATAGGTTTCTAAAACAAGACAACTGAACTTTTCAAATTGTTCGAATAATGAGCATTTATTTATTTATCTGCAACAAACTCTTTCCCCAAAGTTTTAGTCATTTACTTTTGGGCACCTACTACGAATTCTGTTTCACCAGCATTTTCATTTTCAAAAGGCGGCTGAAGAAACGAATGACAGGGACATAGAGATAGAATGGAACTGTATTAAAACGTGCCTAAAGTTAGCAGCTACAGACAAGCCAGGTCTTAAACAAAACGAAAGTAGGAAAGCCTGGATAACAAATGAGATTGTAGAATTAACAGAAGAAAAGCGCAAATACAAAAACAGGACAGACGAAGAAGGACAGAATATATATAAGGCTATAAAGTGGAAAATAATTAGGAAGCGTAGGGCAGCTAAGGAACATTGGATTGATAGGAGGTGTAAAGAAGTAGAAGAAAATTTTAAAGTAGGTAAAACCGATGAGACTTATAAGTCACTTCTAAGATTGTTAAAGATGTATGTTTGGAGCGCGGCGCTGTACGGGTGCGAAACATGGACAGTGGGCGCAGCGGAAAAGAAAAGTTTAAAATCGTTCGAAATGTAGTGTTATAAGAGAATGATGAGGATACCCTGGATAAAAAAAGTTAGAAATAAAGAGGTATTAGAAAGAATAGGAGAACAGAGGACTCTATGAAAGTCAATAAGAAATAAGCGAGATAAATCAGTAGTACACCTTCTCAGGCATGAAGGTCTAGTCAGAGACTTATTAGAGGCAGAAACGAGAGTTAGGATGGGTAGAGGTAGACCTAGATTAGATTTCTGTTCGCAAATAGTTAAGGATTTGGGTTGTTCTAGTATTAGGGAAATGCGAAGATTAGCTCAAGATAGGAAAGTGTGGAGATGTGTCCAAACAACCTCAGGACTGACGGCCTTATGATGATGATATTCTTGTAATACAACGTCAATTTGGTATATTTGCATAAGATAAACTGTTATAAAATCTAAGAGATAGAACAAAACGTTTTAATTTGCAGATTTATTCTTAAAAGAAGTAGAAGGAAAAGTCTCTGCCTAATATTACTGTTTTTGTATAACAATCTCGGTGCCTATATGAAGTCTTAAAGTCACTTCAAATGCCTTTCGAGTTGTTTCAGACTTTAAGAGGATTTGTTATTCTACCTATGCTTATTCAGCGGCTTCTAATAAAACGAACATATCGATTTATAAAAAGTAGGACAAGATGTGCTGAAAGGTAAGCATTATCAACAGATTTTAAAGGGCTGGCTTGCTACTAATCATTAAAAAGGATGTAGGTATGTACACTGTTAGTCCTGTTACCGGATTTTTTTTCTACCGGATTATTAAAGAACGTTGCAAACTCTCATCTGTACTATTTCTCTATCATCTATAATATTTCAGTTTCATTCCTTTGAAAAAGCACTTTTTATAACTGTGTCAATTAAAAAGGAAATTTTATTTCAAAGAGAACGGCTTACCAAAGTTGAAAGTCCATAATTCACTGCATGAACCCCGTAAATCTTGATAACCACCGTAAATAAACATTTTGCCTTTATGTACCAGTGCAGTGTGTCCTCTACGTCCTTTAGGAGTAGCTGTTCCTAAAAGCAATTAAGGATAGTTTGTAGCTATCAAACCTAATAATACAATTAAATAAAATCTCTATTTTGGTTAAATATTAGGTAGGTGTACATTATTAATAAACCGGAAAGCTTTAATTGTTTTTTTTACCATTTTTTGATTGTATCTTCTTCCAGCTATTATTCTTAATATCGTACACCCATAAGGGTGTTTCGCCCCCGGCTGAAAAGCTCACTTCTCCTCCGAACACGTATATGCAGTCTTTATATACGACCGCCGAGTGTTCTTGCAAACAGGGTAGTTTATCCCCGCTGGGTTTCAGTTGTTGCCATTTTCCAGTCACTATAACAACGTCGTTTCTTCTTTATATTCCGCATTTTTTATTAAAAAGGCAGAAAACAGCAATGCATCTTTTATATAGGCAATTATTTAAAATTGCGTACTTTTAAAAAAATATAAGCAGCATCATAAAAGAAAGAGCAACCTCGATACTACTCTAACGCTTACTGGAATGAGTCCTGACCCGAATTTAATATTTTTGTACATTGATTTAGAAATAAAATAAATCATAATTTTAAATTATTGTTATTGAAATCGTTTTTTTTTTTGGTAATCAAAATTTTTAAACAGAGAAATTTAAAATTGTTTAAGAAAGGAACGGCTAATCGATTTGAAAATTTGAGAAAGATTACTAAAGTATTTGCTTCATACACGGCTCTGAGTGAGTGCGTGAATTCTGGACGCGGTAGAGATTTTAGGTTTTTGGTGGAATTTAACACACTTTGCAAAAGTAAAATTACTAAATGAAACGCAATGAAAACTTAACAAATTTAATTAACAATCGCTGAAGGAAGAAGTGGAACAGTTGAATAATAGATCGGAAGTGTTAGTAGTTTTGCAAATAAATTTTAACGAAGATTAAAAGGGTGGAGCTAGAAGTATTTTAACTAAAGTAGGGATCGAATCAGAAAAGAATGAAACTTGGAAAGAGTGATTAGATGAAATACTAAGAAAAAGATTTCGCCCCAATGTACCTAGAAACCCAATATTAAAATGCAATTAAGAAGTAATAAGAATTATACAGCTCATGCTGTTAGTAAACGAAATTAAAATGTTAAGGGATTAGTGGAAAGTACAAGTAGTAAAGTAATTTGTAGAGAGAATAATAGAAAGGTACAGATACAAAAGGTTTTGAGAAGATACATTTGAAAGCATATTTACATAATAACAATAGGAAATATTTACAAAAGAAAGAATTGAATTATACGTTACAATATTGAGTTGGGAAAAATATCAATATATCAAATATCAAAAATATATAAGTGATATCATATCGTAACAAAAATATATGTGGCAAATATGTGTAGCCACA